AAAAAAGTGCAATCCTGATTTCAAAAATACAGAAAAAGTTTTATTTTTCAAAAGCTGTCAAATCCCAAACATCCCAAACTCTTCACTGATAAATTTAATATAGAGAAATAACATGCTTAAAAAGTATAAGGATTTATTGTCATTTGTTTATACAGCAGGAAATAATTTTTTAAAAGTTTCCACTTGCTTTTATTTTCATAAGCCACAAATATAGCTTTAGGTTGATTTCTTCTGATCTTATGAGAACCAGCTCTTCACTACAATGATTTGATTCATGCACTTGTGTTAAGCTATGATATGATTTTGTTTGGCATATTTTGTGAATTTGGCACTGTATTTTGCAATTATATTTATGGTTTTAGAGTGTTCAGCATCAATAGCAATAGTACTTAGATTTATATACCACTTTATAGTGCTATACAGCCCTCTCTAAGCGGTTTACAGAGTCAGCATATTGTCTTCAACAATTTGGCTGCTCATTTTACTGACCTTGGAAGGATTGAATGCTTAGTCAACCAGAGTCAGCATCAAACTCCTCAGTGTTGGCAGAATTAGTCTGCAATATTGCTTTATAACCACTGTACTATCATGCCTCATCAATCCAGATACTTGAACTACTTCAACAAATCATAGTTAAGGAAACACAGGCATATTATTACAGGTGACCCCTGACAAGCCTCGGCCTCAGTAACCCATTTATATAGAGAGTATACAGAATAGCAAATTTGGGACCGAAACTAAACTAGTGACAGAAACAATGAGATTCATGTAAGTATTCTCAGATAAACATCCCAGGAAATATTTGAGAAGTCAGCTTAATATAAAGAAAAGAAATGACATACAATTATTTAATAGGTAGATAAAGCATTCAAACATATAGGAATAAAGAGAATTGTGCTGTCCAGCCAGTGTATGGGAATTGGATAGTTAGGCAGTAAATGTGAGCTGTCCCTTTAAGGGAATGCATCATGGTAAATGTAGTTAAGGTATCCTGGGAAATGTAGTCCATATCACGTGACCACATCTATAATTCTGATTGGTCACTAAATTGACCCTCAATGGATTGGAGGAGGTTTTCTCACTCTTGGCTGAACTCACAGACTTGTGGTAACTGTTCTACTTCTATCGCTATGTGATGAGGGAAAAAGGACAGAAGATAACCATCTTTTTACCTACAAGACAGATATGCAAAGGATTGGTCATTAAAGAAGAACTTTGTCACAAATGGGAGTTATGAGGATACCTGATGAACTAATAAAAGTACTTTGTTATGGATGTTTTGTTGAGTTTATCTATCTGCATCTGTACAGAAGACAAATCTACCACTGTACAGAATAGTAAGTTAATAGTAAGAATAGTAAGAAAAGATTATACAGATAGGTGAAGAAGCATTAAATTGTCAATGCTTGGAACTCAAAGTTATTGCAGGAGTAAAACAGGAATCTGGCTGAAGACATGAGCACCCTGGAAGTGCAAACTTCATGATGGACAGAAAATAAATCATTGTTATAGCCCAGTGTTTCTCATGCTGGCTGGGGAATTCTGGGAGTTGAAGCTCCCACATCCTAAAGTTGCCAAAATTGAGAAACACTACTATAACATCTTGAGATGAATGAAAATGCAGTTACATTTGGATAGCAAAGGTAGTAGAAAGAGCAGATCTTTGAGATCTAAAAAGAGAGAGGGAAAAAAGAAATATCCAGAAAAAAATGACCCCTCCAAGATAGCCCATTTCTAACATGTTTGCTGTGAATGTCAGGGTAGATATAGATCTCTTTCTTAATCAGTTTGCAGAACACCTTTAGGGATAGATCAGCATTCTACAGCTTAATGGCTCACGTGTCTTTTGCTCAGGTGGACAATAAATACTATACTACTAATGTTTGATGTATCTATCTACCCATATATGTAGTAAGTTGCTTTCATTTTAAATTCCTGTCCTCATAATCCAGCATGTTGGTCCCTCACCAATATTGTCTGCAGCTCCTGCCTGCCTGTCCAGAAATTTCTTTTGGGGGGTCAAAATGGAGACCATGAACACCCACCCTCCAACAGATCTCCAAAAGATCTGCTTTGTTTAAAAGTACCAAGAGTAGTACCTGGAGATTCAGAAGAGGTGCTATTATTATCTCTGACTTCTGGAATTCATATATCCAGACTGATGATGAAGCAGAGCTGCCTTTAAGGATATGCAGTGTATCTAGGCCAGCTTCACCATTCCAGAGTGGAACAGAAATCAATATACAAGTTTTTCAAAAAAGCTCACAATATGTATCTAGTTTCAGAAATGAAATCCTTATAATAACCATCGCCCAGATGGATGCCTGAGCAAGCAGAGAACAGTTTTGGCCATTCTAAGCCAGCATGATAACATTGCAATTGTTAGGACTAAGATTTATTTGTGTACATTTTCCATGAACTTGCAGTTCTTACATACATTGTACATTGCCCCAAATTGTTGCAAAGCTGCAAAATGTTTCATGAATATAAATTTTATTCCTATAATAATGTTTTGCTCCTTCATTTGAAAGTCTTATATGTTTTATCTATATTCACTGACATTTGTATTGATTCAGGTGATCCATGATCTAATCTTAGTTTCTTCAGGAGAAAAAGCAGTGCAAACCCCCTAATAATAATGTCTGCTTCTTGTAACCCAAGAAGTAATTTTTCCCCTACAGATGGAGACTCAGTCAGCAATAACTTGTTTTTAACATAGTTCTCCATGGAACACTAACCCGTTCTCCTGTCAATCACGTCATCTGCAATCCAACATGGTACAAATACATAATGCAAAACAAAGGCAGAAAAACAAATACCAAAATACATACATTGCAATAAAATTCATTTATTGTAAAATATACTCCTATAAATGTAATATATTACATCTACTCAGTGGAATATAACCTTCTAAATTTTACATAAAGTTACAACCATAAAAATTGCCTTTAAAAAAAAACACCTAACTGTAGGTTTCTGACTATTATGTCCTTATATTTTTATGTGAATATACATATATGCATGCATAATGTAAGGTAACTCTCATCAATTCTAGATCTGAAGGCACTATGAGAGAAATCCAGAGGCTGCTAAAGTTTATTTACTGTATTTAGTCTTTTTTTCTCACACCTGCATGGTAGGATAGGTTTAAATTATGGGGTATTTTTTTGGGGTGGTGGTGGAATAGGAGGAATGGCTTCCACTTGCCTTTTGTTTTGTCAATGGAGTAATATTTGTTTCCATCTTTCCATCCATTCCCCCTACACTCACAACATATACTGTATGATATACATATTTAAATAGTGATACCTTCGGTGTAAATTTGTGCAATGGGACTCTTCTTCGCTCTCTTTCCTCTTGTACTTATTTATTTCCATGAATTGCAAATCATATTAGATAGTCCCTGTAGCCCCCAGAGCCATTCTTCTATCTACAGGAAGGTGGAGGAAGGGAAGAATCTGTTTCATTGACAGATGCCAATCTCTCTGTATTGTCTACAATTATTAGTTTAACTATCTAAAATTGACCTCGGATTACTACAAGATTTTTAATTTAGCAACATTCTTACATTATATCTAAAATTTATATTAATTTGTCAAATGGAATCATTGTCTTCAAATGTATTTATTTATATTCGATTTTTTAATACTGGTAGTTCCCATCTCAGACAAGTGGCTATGAACAGCAAACAAACAAGAAACAGCAGAAAACCAACAAAACATCAAAAGTGATAGATAATCAGCAGCCAAGATAAACACCACAACCATACATTTTCTTACTATGGGTACATTGATTATGTGAAGACCTAGCTCTCTGAAGAAAGCTGTAATGCTGAGAAAGAGAAGAGGATGATCAGAAGCAAGATGGACTTTGTTACAGCAATAGGTGCATTGTTGGAAGATGTGTGTGTATGTGTGTGTATTAATATACACACACTAGAATAGGAATAGAAATAGGAATAGAATAGAATAGAAATAGCTTTATTGGCCAAGTGGCCAAGCACACATAAGAAATTTGTCTCTGGTGCATAAGCAACTATGTACATTTTTACTTAGTAAATCCTACGAAAATCAACATGACTTTCCTGGTTGCATTATGAAAGATCTTCTTTATATGAAACCAAGGATCCAGCTGCTGACACAATTTGCTTGTTCCCATAGGCCAATCAGATGCCAAGGAAGGATTTTTTTTTCTATCCTGAAGGTCAACCACCTCCTGAAGCCTATGTTGCTTAACCATGCCACCTGTCTCTGTCAACTGTTTACTCTCACCTTCTTCCAAATGACAGGGGAGCTTTTCAGGCCAGACTAGCCTATGGTTTCTTAGCCAGACTAGAATCTATTTAGCTTCAGAGCCTAGAAAAAGACTGGCTTGGCAGGGCCACCTGCTAAAAACCTGCGCTAAAACAATGCATATTTTGGCAATCAAGGAAGGTAGGAGGTCTGCTCCAAAGACCAGGCCTGTGGATTTGCATCTCGCAGATGCCTTCTGAGCTCAGGGGTCTCCCTGCCTCCCTCTATCTATGTAAACTCAGGTAAGACACCCCCCCACCCCCGGCTAAACTCTTCATGGTGCCCCGCCCGGCTCTTGTCTCCTCATTGCTCCAGCTGCTTCTCCGCTAAGGGGCAGGGAAGGGTATTGCGTTCTTTCAGATGCCCAGGGACCAAGTCACCGGGCCGTAAGTTAGGCCGGGGGGGGGGAGGGGTGTCTTGCTGCTGCATCTGGGCAGGACCGAGGGGCGGGGAGCCCAGATATGCGTGCTATGATGAAATCCCCTCGCCGGCGGGTATAGGGAGACGGCGGCTCATTGCAATATTCAGCAGCGGTAGCAACGGAGGCCCCGTCTTTCGTCTGCTCGCTCCTCTCCGCCTCCTCCTCTCCTCCGCCTCCTCCCCCAGCCGCTCCATGGCAGAGCTGCCCTGACTCCCCCGCTGCACCGCGCCGCCTGCCCGCCAACAGCCCCGCCCGCCCAACCCGCTCCGGCCCGGAATGATCTGAACCTTCCGACAGACACGCACCCGAGTCCAGCGCAATCGCCCACCGCAGGTGAGTGGCGCTTCGGTACGCTTCCTCCCTCCCCCCTCCCCGCGCCCTCCACCAAGATCCTGGGTGTCCGCTCGGATGGGGAAAAGATGAGAGGGGGGGGGCTGGGGCGGCAGGTCGGTCATTAACGCTGCCCTGAAGGTGAAGCCCTCAGGTCTGCTCAGGGTTGTTGCACTCTCTCCGGCAAGCGTAGCCTTTTTCTCCGCTTCCTTTGGAAAGCGGGGCAAGATGGAGAAAGGAGATGGCGCGCATTTTCTCGCCTATTCTTTCTGCCCACCAAAAATCTACGGCCATTCTTCCTCCCTCCTCCTCCTCCCTCCCACCCCCGGTCGTCTCTCCCCCATTTCCTCCTCTTGGTTTCAAGGACGCGGAGTCACCCTCGTTGTCACCCTCGCCGCCTTCGTGGGTTGAAAAAGCATCCTCGCGCGCGCGCGCGCGGTCTCTCCCCCCCCGCCCCGCGATCGTCAGCGATGCTTTTGAGGAACCGGGCTCGAAAGGTGTTGCGGGCGGGGGGGGGGGGGGGGGGGGGGCGCTGCAACCCCTGAGGCAGGCGAGGTAGGCCTGGGCTAGGATGGCAGATCAGGGCGAGGGGGACCAGCTGTTGCAGCAGTGATAACTATGCCCAGACTTGTTGAAATGGGAGGGGGGGGCAAAGGTTACCCTTCCCTGAGGGACCAACTTGGGCTCCAACAATGGCTATGGAGGTGCCCAGACATCCCCACCCTCCCTTCCCCTCCTCATTTGGAGACCCAAAAAGAGACGGTCTCCTGCCTGTTCTAGCATACTTAGCTGGCAGGAAGGCAGTGCTTGCAACGAGATACTGCTGGAGAATGTGAACAAGGTATTTTTGTGACTACTGTACTGGGAAGTATAGTCTGAGTTACTCCCTATCTCTTTAAAGACTGACTCATTCCCCCCCCCCCCCCAAATAATCTTTGCTGAAGCCATCTTCCACCTGGTGTCTTGTCTCCATGCAGAGCTCAGTGCCGGGATGGATGTGTTTATGAAGGGCTTGTCCAAGGCAAAGGAAGGGGTTGTTGCTGCAGCAGAGAAGACCAAGGAAGGGGTAGCGGTGGCCGCGGAGAAGACCAAGGAAGGCGTGCTGTATGTTGGTAAGGTTGCTGCAGGCAAAGCTGCAGAGCTGCCCCTTCTCACTATGCCCCCCCCCTTGCAGGGAAACAAATCTGCCAAGCAGAGAGAGGAAGGATTAAAAGAGAAGGCGGAGGCGGGCTTCCATTGGTTAGGGTTTTATCATTATTCTAGTTGATTCCTCCAAAGTGACAATGGCTTCCCTTCCTCAATAATTCTTTCCATCTATGCAATGGTTCTAGATAAGAGCCCCCCCCCACCAAATAGTCCAATAGTAGGGCTCGTTTCTGAGCTTTTCTGTATCCAACCTTTCTGATTACCTTCAGCATCCAAAATATTTCATCTTTAGGGCTCACCTTTACCTATGAGATTATGTTTGATTTGCAAGTCATGGTCACGTCTCCTTTCCTTTGTGATTGATCAGATTTCAGATCCAATTAGGAGAACAGTGGTTGAGTGCACTGGTTTATTTAATTTTGGTTTACTATGTTGTGTGAACCCAACCATTATAAAAGCCTCTTTACCTTTTTCTTCATGATTTGAGCCCCCTTCAGTTCTGAAATGTGAGATTCCCTTTATGTAAAGATGCAATTCCAGTCATGAGGTGAGTGTTCTGGAGTCTTTCTGCTACTCCACACATAAGAAGATGGAATGCTTTCATTCTGGGGGGAGGGGGGGGGGAAACCATTTTGACATTTCAAAGCCTTTTTCCTACAACAAACTCTAAGGTTATAGTCCTTTGGGGAAAAGCAGGGATGTGACAGATTATGGATTCATCTTAGTGTTCAATTTCAGCCAGTTTTATAAATTCACCAGTGAGCAACCATTTCCCCAACACTTGAATAAATAATGCCTCCACTAATATTATACACTTTTTTGAAATTATGAGACCCACTCCCAAATTCTTCATTCCAGAGATTCATCTATCAACTTCCCATGATCGTTCCATTTTGTCATTCATCTTCCTAGTGCTGACTCACAACCTTCCTGTACATTTGCTTTTCTTCCTTGTAAAAGTGTAAAGTAAATATAAATAAAATAATCATCGAATGAGTGTAACTAATTATAATTGTGATGCCATTTGCAAAAAGCAAGGCAACAAAAACCTTCAGCAAGACCATGAAGTATATATAGGTAGTTCTTGACTTACAATCAATTATTTAGTGACAGTTCACAATTACAACACTGAACAAAGTGGCTTATGATCATTTTTCACACAACCATCGTAGCATCTTCATGGTGATGTGATCAAAATTTGGATGCCTGGCAACTGACATGTATTTATGACGGTTTCAGTGTTCTGGGGTCATGTGATCATCATTTGTGACCTTCTGACAAGCAAAGTCAATGGTGAAGCCAGAGTCACTCAACAACAGTGTTACTAACTTAACAACTTCAGTGATTCACTTAACAACTGTGGCAAGAAGGGTCATAAATTGGGATAAAACTCACTTAACAACTGTCTTGCTTAGCAATGGAAATTTTGGGCTGTTGTGGCGATAAGTCAAGGACTACCTGAACCAAGGTCAAAGGGAAAGGGTTTAAAAAAGTAATTTATAACAAATTTTTCTCAGATATATTTACAGAAAAAAATAATGAGAGCAAGAGATGTGAATGAACCTAATGCTGAAAATCAACTCTTAAGGAAAAAAACCCAGTTGTGATAAACAAGAAAAAGCAATATGATGTAAACACTGCTATCTCTTAGCCTGGACACATTCCATTTAACTTTTTTTCTTAATTTGTCTTCCTCAGCCAGTTAAGAATCTGGCCTTAAGTTGATCAGCTGTCAATCCAAACATCAAAGGCAGACGAAGTTGATTTGAGCTAAATGTGAATCCAGGTCTTTCCCCCCAGAATCTCTACATTTTACCAAATCAAATCATTAAAAAGACTCCAACTGTGATCTGCCATCATGGGGATTGCTAGACACAAGTTAAGAAAATGCTGTTAAACTGTAGGACTATAAACTAGCAATGGCTTTTAGTCTTTGTAACTGTATAATATCTCTTGAATTGCAAGCACCAAACCTTAAATGCCAACTGTTTGAGAATGATCAATGAAATTGGGACAGATCATTCTGGAGAAAATCTATCTATGAATTCACTAAAATTTGATGGTACATAATCCGCTGGCCAGTCAGTCAGTCAGTTAATCAATCAAGTAATAGTGAAAAACAACTATACTATCCTACCTAATGTGTGATTTCTGAATATATATTTGGTTAGCCATGGCAAGCCACATAAGTAGACTCAAAGAGCCCTTCACTGATGCAGCTGTAGCTCTAAAGACATCACTTTGAGAGTGAGATGGGTGGTCTCTAAATTTGTACCCCCCCCAATATCTTGTGTATTATTTACACATACAATAAAAATGAGAATACGTAATAGAGTTGTCCTGTAATCTTTTCCATCCTGGTGGTTTATAAATGAATTAGACTACAATTCCCATATTTCCTGCCAACATGGCTTCCAGATTTTGTGACTGGAGAATTTGTGACTGTAGTTCTATTGAAACTAGATCTGTAGGAACCTTATTTTTTTTTCTTTAGCTAAGCCATTATTCTTTCACTTTGTCCACAAAATATGCTTTCCTGGAGTTACCTTAGCATGTTGTGAAACTAATCTAATCCTCTGGCTTTGCATGATCTGCTGAACACTGAATTAACCAAATGGGATGAATTCAAGCAATATGCTTAGGTGAAAAAAGGGGCCTTATTTTGGGGGTTCAGTGTGCTAAGCATATGTAGCAATTCCCTGCATCTTGGTCAATTTCTCTTTCTCATATCTTCTTGAGTGTGATCTCTTTATTTTTTCAATCTTCAGGATTTTTCCAAATTCCTGTTCTACAACAGAAAATATACATTAATCTGCACCCTATATTTAAAAGGGTTAAGGATAAAGGAGACATCTAAGAATTGATTAGGAATATCATGGTGTGCCTTATTGAGAAGAGCCACACTCAAGCAACATTCCTTAGCAACAGGCTAAGAACCGTTTAATGCTACTCCAGCTCAGCTTCATCTTCACTGGCCAACATCAGACAACACAACTAAGCAAGCAATCATATTTACATATTTGCACCCTTTTTGATCCATATTTTGGTATGACCAAAATATGGATCAAAAAGGGTGCAAATGTGTAATATGATATGACCAAAGTATGTTTGGTATGACTTGCCCATCAACACTCACCAGGTTTTTGTTTTCATAGTTTTGTTAGTCAAACTGGAGGATCCATTTTTCCTGGACAGTGCTGGAAGGAGAGACCACCAAAAAGTCCAAAACTAAGTGCTGGCTACAAAGTCCAAAAGACATCTTGAAAGAATGCAGTGCCCACCCATTTCTGCACAGTTGCCAAGACAACTAACTGGTTATGTCTGGATAAAGTCACCAGGTCTTGAGCTCTGCTCAAAGGAGATTTGACTTTCATTTTATTTTATTTTTAAAAAATAAGTTAAATCCATATTGGGCTTGTCCTTGCTGCCCATGTTTCATTTCTTTGCATGCCCATGTGCAATAAAAATGAAAAATGGAAATAGAAGAAAGAGAGGACAGAGGAGAGGATCAATTTCAGAATGAAAGGAGTCACCCAACATGATGAACCAACCAGTGTACCTTGATCTTTGTCTATGTATAGCAATCTGTCAGATCCTCAAAGAAGGCCAGGTGAGGAAACATATACCACAAGAGGTATATCCTCCTTGAACTCAGATTTACTGATTTAGGATACACGAATAGAATCTTGACTCCCTGACAGTATTTTCTCCATCCATCCCTCTTATATCAAACAGAGTCAAGGCACACATTCTTTAGTTTCTTTCTGATACTTTCTGTTTTTTTTAGGTTATGTTCATGTTTTGCTAATGGTTTCCACAAATCTTCTTCAGCTTTGTGGCCCATCAGGCCTCAAGAGAAGTGAAGAAAACAGAGGGCCAAATTGCACCTTGGTTTATCTTATGAATGTAGCCAGTATACCAACGATTCCATATTTGTCCTGCCTCCTGGCTCTTTCTCATTCTTCATCTTATTCTCCCTACTGGGAGAACCAGAGATTAATTAACTGCCCATTTCCCCATAAAAGTCTCTTTTCTGCTGCGCCTTTGCACTTGTGACTTTAAGCATAATGTGGTTTGTTACACCGTAGCTTGCATAATTTTGAGCTCAACTATTGGAGTTTTAAAGCTTAACTTATGGGTTTACAGAATGTGTGCATATGTGACGGCATGTGTAGCTCTATAGGCTTTAGTTCATCCCTTCTTCCAACCCTTTTCTGAGGAGATGGCAAGAAAGTGTATCCAGGCAGTACCTACCCTATTTCTCTCTTTATCTGAGTGACAGGCTGCTATATGGATTGTTTATTTTTGTGCTCTATACCACTGAGTTAGGCAGCCATATATAAGTCAAAGATGATAGATAGATAGATAGATAGATAGATAGATAGATAGATAGATAGATAGATAGATGATAGATCCCCACTCAAGGCAAATGTCAGGAAACTGACATTACTGTATTTCTTGCCAGACATTGATGATGCCTGGTACCAATACTAAGTGATCAGTTCTGCTTGGCATATAAGTTAAAACAAAAATTACTGCCATAACAAAAATAAAAAATGGAAAATAAATCATATATCCCTGTTCTGGAATAATTACCTCTTGCTTTCTCTCTCTCTCTCCCCCATTGGACTTGTTAACATTTCCTTAAAAACAGAATTGCTGTTGCCCTTTTGCCCTCACCCATTTCTGCCTTCCCTTAGAATCCTTTTTACTTTTTAACAGGTAAAGACACCAGGCTAGAAACCAGGAGACCAGGAGTTCTAGTCCTGCATGAGGCACAAAGCCATATGAGTGACCTTGAGCTAGTCAGTTTTCAACCCTAGGAAGGAGGCATTGGCAAAGCACTTTGAAAACATTGCCAAGAAAACTGCAGGGATTTGTCCAGGCAGTCTGGGAATTGGACATGATTGAATGGAAGAAAAAAAAGGAAATAGCCACTTAGACTGATCCAACAAACTCATGTTAA